ATACTCAAACTGATGCTCCACCCAAACTGCATGTTGGAGCATTCTGAGAATACATTGGATTAATTGGATCAACCAATCAATCAGATGGTGAGCAGGAGAGGGACATTTGAACAATTAGCCGTGTGATTCCAGCTGACCACAGCTTCTGCTCTTTTTCTGATGTTCGACAGAATCAGTTTCACGTTAAGACGCAGAGATTGGATCGTAGTCTCCAGCTTTCTGAATGTTGTGTTAGAGAATATCTGCAGTTTATTCTCATAGATTTGTCCATCATTTGTGTGAGGAGTGACACCTCTGTGCTCATCAGATATCTTCCCCTGTTGGAGTGAAGTCCATCAGTAACACCAGCGCTGAGCTGATCAGACAGGGTCAGGTTCACGGTCAGGACCAGGACCAGGACCAGGGTCAGGGGGTTTGAAACGTGGCTTCATGTAAAACCTCTGTGATGACGACTAAATGGTCTGAGTTGCCCCCCTGCTCCACCTGTGTGCTGCTGCTCCACCTGTGTGCTGCTGCTCCTTGTCCACAGCGCCCTGTGCTGTGTGTGGAGATAAACAGGAATTGTGTATGAGGCGATCGGGACCTTCCTGAGCCTGTAACCCTCAGTTAGAGGTAAAACCAAAGGTGACCACGTCATCCCTCAGTACAGAAGAACTGTGTGCTCACATGTTAAAGGTAGGTGGTCGGTTTGGGTGTTTTTGTTCTGTTGCAGAAGTTAAATTCATTTTATTTTTCTCATAGAACGATGAACAAAACTACAGAAATAAACCTCAAGTTGTTATAAACTGGAAGAAGCTTAAATGGGTCTACATCTTCAACAGACAACACTCAGTGTTAGACCGTAGACCACCGGATGTGGTTCTGGCTGCAGGTCTCAAAATCTACATGAGGGATTTGTTTAGATGTCTTTGCATCATCTTAATTTGAAGATTTGAAGGGGTCTTCAAAGTAAGACGATGCAGGGTGGACTTCCTGTCTGCGGTCATGCTTCAGCTTTCTGGACTTGATGAGGGACAGACTGGAGCTTGTGATGTGAGGTCATAACCCCCCTGAATGTGTCACGCAGCCCTCCTTTGCCTCAAAGCAACATGGGACGTGTTGGTTGTGCTGTTTTTGGACGATCACCTGTACGGCTCCACATCTTCATCGCCTTGTGTTTTTTTGTGATGACCCAGTTTTCATTCATCTCCAGCAGAGAGGGCTCGGTCGGTTCTTGTCTCGCTCTTCCTCTCATCTCTTTCTTGGGCTGTAACTCAAGTCAGATTGCTTCTCTCTCTTGTTACAGCCCAGGATGAACCTCCTCTTCCTCCTCCTGAGCCTCCTTACTCTGCTCTCTTACACATTTCGACACGTATATTTTATTCTCATCATTCCCTCTTTTGCTCTTAAATGTACTGAAATCCATTTTCAATATTTCTTCCTTCCCTTTGCTCAAACCTGCTCAACCCTCTCTCCTCTGTTCCATCTGTTCTACATCTCCCTTTGTCTCCCTGCTCCCTCCATCATCCTCAGGTGGTGAGTCAGCGCTTCCCTCAGAACAGCATCGGAGCCGTGGGCAGTGCCATGTTCCTGCGCTTCGTCAACCCTGCGATTGTGTCTCCGTATGAAGCCGGCATCTTGGATAAGAAACCCCTGCCCAGGATAGAACGGGGTCTCAAACTCATGTCCAAGGTGAGACTGACTGAAGGGAACGTTTCATCTCCCAGTCAGTGGATGAGACGGAGAAACCAAATACTCATCTTGGTGTGCAGTAGTGTTGAATGGTAGGAAATGACATCATCAATTCCTGAGAGGATGTGCTCCCATGTCAGACCCTGGGATTATTAGCTTGTGTGTTCTGATGTGTTTGCTGAAGAACATATGTACAGATCAGATACTGTTAACCCTGTTAATGCTGTTGTAGCTGTAGTCTGATTGTGTGGGTAAACATTGTGTAGAGCTGGTGTGAAGACAGTGGACGTGCAGGATAGAGAAACCTTTCTGGGGAAAGGATTCCTGGGATTCAGAGGAAGAAAGAAATGAAAGATTCCAAGGACATGATTTCAGAATCAAGGGAAGTCCTTTGATCGCTCAGTCACCAACAACCTCAACCTGTCTACAGCAGCTGTGGGCACTGTGACTCAAAGAGCATGTAACTGTTTGAACAGCAGCCACATGACCTGCTGACACTATGACGGTGTACTGTAGCAGAGTGTCTAATGTGCTTTTTGTCTATTTCTTCTTGTCCTTCAGATTCTGCAGAGCATTGCAAACCATGTCCTGTTTACAAAAGAAGAACACATGAGACCTTTTAATGACTTTGTGAAGAGCAACTTTGATTCAGCCAGGAGGTAAGAACCTGGAGCACGATGCCAACCCACCTCTCGGTCTGAACAGAGAACTCAAACTACATCTGCTGGTGTCTGAAGGGTTAAAGGTTTCACACATGTTCAGGTTCAGGTTCAGGTTCAGGTTTTTCCGGGTTCAGGTTCAGGTTTTTCCGGGTTCAGGTTTCAGGTTCAGGTTGTTTCAGGTTCAGGTTCAGGTTGTTTCAGGTTCAGGTTCCAGATTCAGGTTCAGGTTTTTCCGGGTTCAGGTTCCAGGTTCAAGTTGTTTCAGGTTCAGGTTCCAGATTCAGGTTCAGGTTTTTCCAGGTTCAGGTTCCAGGTTCAGGTTGTTTCAGGTTCAGGTTCAGGTTTTTCCAGGTCCAGGTACTGAACTGTCCTCTCTCCTCCACAGGTTTTTCTTGGACATAGCGTCTGACTCTCCACCCAGTGACTCTGTCAACCACAGTCTGTCCTTCATCAGTGACGGTAACGTGCTGGCCCTGCACCGCCTGCTGTGGAACAACCAGGAGAGGATCGGCCAGTACCTGTCCAGTAACAGGTCAGGACACCTGGTTCACCTCCAGGATCACACACCAGTGTGTCCTGCTGCATGGTCTCAGGACTAAACTGTCTACAGTCTTTGTAATTATCATCTCACCTCCAGGGATCACAAGGCTGTAGGCAGACGACCTTTTGACAAGATGGCCACCCTGCTCGCCTACCTGGGACCTCCTGAACACAAACCTGTGGCTGACACTCACTGGTCCAGTCTCAACCTGACGAGCTCCAAGTTTGAGGAGTTCATGACCAGGTGCGTCTACAGGTTCACAGTCTCGGTCATAATTAACTTATACCACTGATGATCAGCTGTGACACTCAGATATGACGACTGCTTTGACTGGGCTGTAGTTGAGTGTTGTAAACCAGCTCATGCCTCATCAGGTGGATTCAGCAGAGACCCTCACTCCGACTTCAGCTTGTAGATAACAGCAGCATGAGATCAGTGTGGTGGTGTGAGCTGCTGTCTGTCTGAGGATGAATGTGTCCGTTCATTTGTTCCTGTTGCTCTAAGATTTGATCCCAACTTCCTGGGTTCATCTGTGTTTCCTCTGTGGTTTCCTCCTGATGCGTCCAGAGCTCCTTCTCTTTAAGATAAATAATTCTCTACAAACAACAGATAAGAGTCTGAACCCTCTGAGACAGTCAGTGGTTTGTGTTTAATCTCTGTACTCAGTCAGTATGATCCGTCTGTAACATGTAACATACTGTTGGTCTAATAAAACCTGATGTTACACTGAGAATTAATGAGAATTAATGAAGCTCTCTCTGTCTTCAGGCACCAGGTCCATGAGAAGGAAGAGTTCAAAGCCTTAAAGACCCTCAACATCTTCTACCAGGCAGGAACCTCCAAGACGGGGAACCCAGTGTTCTACTACGTGGCCCGCAGGTAGGAACCTGAACGTCCATCCTCCTCTAATGTCTGTTGTCCTTATTACCTTGTTGTTACCTGAGGGTTTTCATTCATTTCTGACCCTGTGTGTGTCTGTCTGATGTTCTCTGGATCAGGGACCTGACCTCAGGCCAGCACATTATACATTTACCTTCACTAGCAGGAAGTTTACCAGTCAGACCATAAATGACCAAGTGACAGCCTCTGTTTTTATTTTTTTATTGTCAATAAAGTTCAACTGAATCAGTCAACAGTCCGTCTGGATTTGAGACATAATGTTAATAACAGCTGTAACAGCTGTTGTCTCTTCACTGACTCACACAGAGTCTAAACTCAGATTCATTGACACCATTCTGATGTAAACATGAGAAACAGATCTGGACATGCTGATCAATAATGTCCACCTCTAACTGACTGATTCCTCTGTTCTTTGTTTGGAGGGAAACTCTTATTTGTTTCTGAAGTCTCCTCCAGACAGAAGATAAATCAGACTACAGACTCTACTGTGGTCCACTGTAACCACCACTGACAGTGACCATGCAGGAGTAGCAGGTGACTACAGCTACAGGCAGCCCAGTGTTCATGGACTATTTCATCAACTTAAAAACACTCTGACAAAGAAACGGTCACGGCTGAAATAAAACCACAGGGATGAAAGAGTCAGTGGATTATTTTAACATTAATATAAAACAGGTCTTTTAGTTTGAAGGTCGACTTCCTCTGTTCAACAGGATGATTGTTTCTTGTGCTTTGGTTTCTCAACTTAGACTTTATTTTGTTGCACACTTTATTACATCAGCGGGCTTCACTGCATTGATCCACACCTCCATCTGCTCTGTGAAGTCCTCGTGTTCTCCTGTGAACACTGAACTAGCCCTTTACTCTGTCGTAAATCCAGGAGCCAGTCATGGTGATGGATGTTCTATATGATTATTGTAGCTCTGGTTCTGAGGAGCCCAGCAGCACAAGCATCAGTATCATGAAGCACAGCAGAGAGATGAGCATTGAACCAGTTCACTCGTGTTTTCACAAGTTTTCTGTCAGTTTCTTTGTGTTCAGGGATTCACAGACATTTTCTTTCACATGTTGAGCTCATGATGATGATGATGATGATGATGATGATGATGCTGATGCTGACAGTGACAGAAGGCAGTAACAGTTTGTACCAGGGACAATGAAGGTGCTCAGTTACTTGGTGGTACATTCACAGTCCAGACTAATCCAGTCATTTTCTCTGTGTTCAGTCAGAAGTTGTTGATTGCTACTGTCATCACCAAAACAGTCAGAGTGACAGTCGGCTGAGTCTCCACCAGGAGGCCGCAACCTTGATTCTGTGAGTGCGAGACTTTGGGCTTCGTGGTTGAAGGCGGTGGGCGTGTCGTTGTGCTAGTGGAGAAACTGTCAAAAGTGCTGGAAGATGTCCAGACCAGCAGGTTGTCTCCAGACTCGTTCCCTGCTCTGCTGCCCTGATAGATCCCGGTCTCAAAGAGAGCAGACTTGGCCTGGTAGCTGGACGTGACCTCTGCAGTCCTCGCAGGCGACTGACTGTTGTGTCCTTCACCTCTGCCGTTGACCCAGAGCGGGGGCTCTGTGAACAGTGCAGAGTGCCACTCCCTCCCCGGTGTCGCTGGGTGGGTTTGTCCACAGATGGGTCTCGTGTAACACGGGCAGCCTAAGACTGTGGCACGAGTCTGCTCAGCCCACCTGAGCAGCCTCGCGATATTCTCCTCCTCTTCACAGGCCCAGGGGTTATCTCCCAGAGTCATGACATCCAGCCCCGTCAGCTTGTCAAACACCCCCTCAGACAACCAGGAGAAGCGATTAGCATGCAGGTAGAACTGAGCCAGCCTGGGCAGCCGGTCCAGAGACCCAGGCAAGATCTGCACCAGGTAGTTATGTGACAGATCAACGCTCTCGAGGTTGTGCGGCATGTTGGTGGGCACAGTCCAGAACCTGTTGTGACTGAGGTTGAGAGCTCGGAGGCTGGGCAGCGTGTTGTTGATGAAAACCACTCTCTCCAGCTCGTTGTCCGACAGGTCCAGGACTTTTAGGTTCCAGTGGTACGCTGTGTCGTTTTTGTCCAGCGAACGCAGGTGGTTCCCCGCCGCCCGGATGTCCCACAGAGACCGCGGCAAGGCGGGGGGCAGGCTCTCCAGGCGGTTATAGGACAGGTCCAGTGTCCGCAGGTGGGCATAATGACTGAGCTGACTGTCCAGACCCTGGAGGCTGTCAGAGGAAGGTCACATTTAAAAAACACATCTATGGTTGTTTGCACTCTACTAATGTTCAGATGTGAACACAGTGTAACCGAAGATTATCAGGTCAGTTACACAGCTCTGCCTCGAGTTTATTGAACCCAAACCGAGGAGACTTGTGATCAGTTATACTTATGTTCTGTAGAGGAAGGAAGTTCTTTGTTTCTTCAGAAGTTAGATTCACTTGAACTTCCTCCTCTGTTTACTGTCACCACCCTGACTCTGTATCTGAGCTAATTTAATCACATCAGAGCCTCAAACTGATCATTATCTGGGACAGCTCCTTATTTTTAACAGTCAGGCTGCAGCAGCTTTCACCACGCTATTGTTATGCAGCAGATTAAAACACACCATGTTTTTATTGGTGAGGAGGGAAGACTGTTGTCTATCTTATAAACTCATGATGTTACACAGCTGGAATAAACTTCCAGAAGATCTTGTCTGAACTCTTCTGTTCACCTCTGACTTTTCATTGTTTTAGTCTTTATATTTTTCCCTGATCTATTTTTAAGTCCAGCTCTTTGAATCACCTCTGTGTGTGTGAGCTCTAATAAAAAACCTATCATTTCCATTTCTCTTCTCTCTAACCCTGATCTCTGGAGAGAAGATCTATGATAGTAAAATGAACACTGTACCATGTGTGACCTCTGACCTGCAGCACCTGTCACCTGTCTGAGAGGTGCAGCTGCTCACCTGTTAAAGGACAGGTTGAGGAAGTGGATGTTGTGCTGCAGACCAGGCGGCAGTTTGGTGAGGCCTCGTGAGGAGCAGTCCACCACGCGGTGTCCCTGTCTGCAGAGGCACACAGAGGGACAGATAGACAGCACCCAGCCCCCCAGCAGCAGGAGGATCAGGCAGAGCAGAGAGGAGGAGCAGGCAGGCATGGTCCAGGCTCTGCAGAGAGGAGGGGAGGGGAGGGGAGGGATGGGGGTGGGGTGTATACAAGGTTAGTCTTCATGATGCAAAAGAGTTTGAACAGTTTGATGTGAAATAGATTTGATTATCAGAGCTGGTCACCGATACCGAACCCTGTGTCCAGGACTCATAGTCCTCAGACAGACTGGAGCTGTTCGTCATTACTGTGTCCAGGTCAGTCACAACATCCTCATACTGAGCTGTGTTCTGATCTAGACTGGAGGTGGACCCCTGATGTGTGTGTGTGTGTGTGTGTGTGTGTGTGTGTGTGTGTGTGTGTGGGTGTGTGTGGGTGGGGGGGGGTCCAAGTCAGTTTATGATGTTTATGTTAAATTATCTCAACACAAATTTAACAGCTCAGATGACAAATCATGTTCTACATCAGTGTTTGTTGAGAACAGAACTGCCTCTGGTACGTGTGCACTGCTGTCTGAACACAGACCATCAGATGCCCCTGTCAGTTCGGGTCCTGGTCTGAAGTGGGACAGGCTGTTGGTGCCAGCTGGTCTTGAAGCTCTGCCAGTGGGACTGGAGCTCAGAGTGCTGCAGTGAGCTGATACAGTAACTGTGAGACTGAAGCTCCATGTGTGTTTGTTCTTCACCACAGACTCGTTCACACCCTGACATGTTCCAGAAATTACCTCTCTGACATCACTGACTTGCTCTGTGTCTTTAAATAAACTGAGAAGAGAATCTGCACAGCGATGGAGCATCGACCACCATCACACTGTAGTTTACTGCAGTACTCACCTCATCCTCTCCTCTCTCACTCACCTCATCTTGACATCTCTCCTCTCCAGTCGTGTCCTCCTCCAGCTGTTCTTTCCTCTGTGTGAAGGTGATGATGTCACTCTCTTTTTCCTGCCTGTGGTGGACGTAGTTGCGTGCCGTCAAACATGTTGTCTGCTAGCGCCGGTCCCCACTCTGCTTGCCGCTCTGCAGCCTCCTGATGCAGCTGAAGGTCCGGGTTAGGAGATAGAGAGAGGGAGAGAGGGTGGGAGGGAGAGAGGGTAAGTGGGAGGGAGGGAGAGGGAGAGAAATGCAGCAGCAAGCCAGAGCACTCTGCTGCTGATGAGGCAGAGGGATGGAATAATGTGTGTGCACATGCTGACAACAGCAGCTCTCTCTCTCTTGTGCACATATATTCTCATACACACTTGATTGAGCTTAATTTGCCTGCACAGGGTGTCAATCATGTTGTGTACACACACACACACACACACACACACATACACACACATACACACACATTTCTTATAGCTAAAGACAGTCCTAAAACCTGGTTCCCTGGTCCTGACGTCTCTGATCTCCTCACCAGTCCACCTTTACAGCCTGGTTAACTCACCAGTCCACCTTTACAGCCTGGTTAACTCACCAGTCCACCTTTACAGCCTGGTTAACTCACCAGTCCACCTTTACAGCCTGGTTGTGTTTCTACAAACTTTCACTAACTCTGTCAGAGGAAAGGCTTTAGTAGAAGAGGTCAGAGCTTAGTGGTGGAGACATTGAAGTCATGTGATCGTGGTTTTGAAGTCATGTGACTTCATGTGACATGTGGTGTTCATTAGTGAAGATGATCCTGCTGAACTTAACCTGTCACAGATATATAAAACTTATAAAACTGTTGTTTATTTTCATTTTCTTAAAGCTGCAACAAACCTACAGAGAATGATCAGCTGCTCATCAAACATCTGTAAACATCTGTCCTCTACCTGCTCAGACAGACTCAGTCACAGTGGAGCATTTAAAATGAGAACAAATGTTACAAGCATGTTGTTGCTCTGTATCTGCTCTAAATGTAGCGCAACTGTTAGTCATATCATATAATAACTGTCATATTAGTTTAATTAGGTGAAACGGTGAAAAAATAGAAAGGTGAATTATTGACCCAGAATAATTTGGTGTCTAGGTTTGTTTTTAATGTAACCTTAAAAACCACTGTGAGACAGAAACCAGCCTCACATTCAGATAAAATAACAGAAACAAAACAAATGACATTTACAGACATTTTAATAAAAGCATCATCATAACATGTGAACAATCTGACGTTACATACACATAGGTACTCTTCTCATTATGAAAACCACATGACCACATTTAACACAGGAAATACATCGAGGCTGCTCTGGTAGGAATATGGCCAATGTAACAGTCCACAGAGAATGTGTTTAAAAGCCTTGCTCTTCCACGTTTTCATTTTGTGTAGTTGATTTCAGTGCGTTGTTCGGCCGTTGTTCAGTCGTTGTTCAGTCATTGTTCGTTTGTTGTTCAGTCATTGTTCAGTCATTGTTCAGTCGTTGTTCAGTCATTGTTCAGCCATTGTTCAGTCGTTGTTCAGTCATTGTTCAGCCATTGTTCAGTCGTTGTTCAGTCATTGTTCAGCCATTGTTCAGTCGTTGTTCAGTCATTGTTCAGCCATTGTTCAGTCGTTGTTCAGTCATTGTTCAGCCATTGTTCAGTCGTTGTTCAGTCATTGTTCAGCCATTGTTCAGTCGTTGTTCAGTCATTGTTCAGCCATTGTTCAGTCGTTGTTCAGTCATTGTTCAGCCATTGTTCAGTCGTTGTTCAGTCATTGTTCAGCCATTGTTCAGTCGTTGTTCAGTCATTGTTCAGCCATTGTTCAGTCGTTGTTCAGTCATTGTTCAGCCATTGTTCAGTCGTTGTTCAGTCATTGTTCAGCCATTGTTCAGTCGTTGTTCAGTCATTGTTCAGCCATTGTTCAGTCGTTGTTCAGTCATTGTTCAGCCATTGTTCAGTCGTTGTTCAGTCATTGTTCAGCCATTGTTCAGTCGTTGTTCAGTCATTGTTCAGCCATTGTTCAGTCGTTGTTCAGTCATTGTTCAGCCATTGTTCAGTCGTTGTTCAGTCATTGTTCAGCCATTGTTCAGTCGTTGTTCAGTCATTGTTCAGCCATTGTTCAGTCGTTGTTCAGTCATTGTTCAGCCATTGTTCAGTCGTTGTTCAGTCATTGTTCAGCCATTGTTCAGTCGTTGTTCAGTCATTGTTCAGCCATTGTTCAGTCGTTGTTCAGTCATTGTTCAGCCATTGTTCAGTCGTTGTTCAGTCATTGTTCAGCCATTGTTCAGTCGTTGTTCAGTCATTGTTCAGCCATTGTTCAGTCGTTGTTCAGTCATTGTTCAGCCATTGTTCAGTCGTTGTTCAGTCATTGTTCAGCCATTGTTCAGTCGTTGTTCAGTCATTGTTCAGCCATTGTTCAGTCGTTGTTCAGTCATTGTTCAGCCATTGTTCAGTCGTTGTTCAGTCATTGTTCAGCCATTGTTCAGTCGTTGTTCAGTCATTGTTCAGCCATTGTTCAGTCGTTGTTCAGTCATTGTTCAGCCATTGTTCAGTCGTTGTTCAGTCATTGTTCAGCCATTGTTCAGTCGTTGTTCAGTCATTGTTCAGCCATTGTTCAGTCGTTGTTCAGTCATTGTTCAGCCATTGTTCAGTCGTTGTTCAGTCATTGTTCAGCCATTGTTCAGTCGTTGTTCAGTCATTGTTCAGCCATTGTTCAGTCGTTGTTCAGTCATTGTTCAGCCATTGTTCAGTCGTTGTTCAGTCATTGTTCAGCCATTGTTCAGTCGTTGTTCAGTCATTGTTCAGCCATTGTTCAGTCGTTGTTCAGTCATTGTTCAGCCATTGTTCAGTCGTTGTTCAGTCATTGTTCAGCCATTGTTCAGTCGTTGTTCAGTCATTGTTCAGCCATTGTTCAGTCGTTGTTCAGTCATTGTTCAGCCATTGTTCAGTCGTTGTTCAGTCATTGTTCAGCCATTGTTCAGTCGTTGTTCAGTCATTGTTCAGCCATTGTTCAGTCGTTGTTCAGTCATTGTTCAGCCATTGTTCAGTCGTTGTTCAGTCATTGTTCAGCCATTGTTCAGTCGTTGTTCAGTCATTGTTCAGCCATTGTTCAGTCGTTGTTCAGTCATTGTTCAGCCATTGTTCAGTCGTTGTTCAGTCATTGTTCAGCCATTGTTCAGTCGTTGTTCAGTCATTGTTCAGCCATTGTTCAGTCGTTGTTCAGTCATTGTTCAGCCATTGTTCAGTCGTTGTTCAGTCATTGTTCAGCCATTGTTCAGTCGTTGTTCAGTCATTGTTCAGCCATTGTTCAGTCGTTGTTCAGTCATTGTTCAGCCATTGTTCAGTCGTTGTTCAGTCATTGTTCAGCCATTGTTCAGTCGTTGTTCAGTCATTGTTCAGCCATTGTTCAGTCGTTGTTCAGTCATTGTTCAGCCATTGTTCAGTCGTTGTTCAGTCATTGTTCAGCCATTGTTCAGTCGTTGTTCAGTCATTGTTCAGCCATTGTTCAGTCGTTGTTCAGTCATTGTTCAGCCATTGTTCAGTCGTTGTTCAGTCATTGTTCAGCCATTGTTCAGTCGTTGTTCAGTCATTGTTCAGCCATTGTTCAGTCGTTGTTCAGTCATTGTTTAGTCATTGTTCAGTTGTTGTTCGGCCGTGGTTCAGTCATTGTTCAGTCATTGTTCGGCCGTTGGTCGGCCATTGTTCAGTTGTTGTCATCTCACAAAGCTTCATGTGAGTTTCCAGAGAGAGACCCTGACAGTCGGCAGTTGTGCAGCTGGGAACTGAAAAGTGCTGAGTCTGGGGAATATGGTGTGTGTGTCTGACAGTGGTTTCTGTTTTATGATGGTGGTGCCCATGGCTCTGCTGATACACAAAACAGTCTATAATAGCATTTTTTGACTTATTGTACAAGCTAACTGTGATGTGCTCTGTATGTTTATAAAGAAAAAAAAAGACATGCTACTCCACTGCAGAGAACACTGCTCATGCCACTTCACTCTGCAGACAGTGAATCAAACAAAGATGGTGCAGTCTTGTTTGTGTCAGATGAAACATGAATCAGTCCTTTTTCACACTTTGAAACTTCCTCCCCAGAAAATGCAAATGTTTGTATTCGGTATTTACAGCTCTTATACATGGAACAATGTTACTGCTCCTTCTCACCAACACATTTCCTTCTGCTTCTGCTGCAATCAGCTGAAAGATAAATGCATGCTTGTCTGGTGTGAGAGGCACAGTAAAGGATCCAGTAACCTGTCTCATGGCTCTAACATTAATGATATGACTTAAAATCTAGTTTCTTTTCTTTGATATTACACATCTTTTTTGCAGCAGAGTACAAGATAAACATTTTTAGATTTCCTTAAACGATGATCAGTTGGCCCGTTTCCTGTTTTCTCAGTCACAGTTGTTGTTGCCTAGAAACCAATGAAAATGCAGCTTTAAGTAATGCACACGTCTGCTGGATGTGTTGAACGATTTGGAGTTTCAGTTCTCTGAAGTTTGGCCCATGCCATCATTCTGTTGTGCTGTAGCATTCTCCACTGCTCCGGATGGAGGATGAGGATTTGGACTGACGTTTGCAGCTTCTGAATTGTTTTCTGTGGAGAGCAGAAAACAATTCTGTGGAGAGGTTTCAACAGTCTCTGGAACGTCTCCTGTGCTTTTCATTCCTGGAACATCTGCAGCAGTCCCATTGCTTTCTGGTACAGTACGTCCATCCACCTGTTGACCAGATGTATTCCCTTGACGTTTCTCTCCAAATGTAGTACCTGGGGTCATGTCATCTAACTCCTCCTCTGTTTCTGGAAGTAAGGACAACCTTTTGGACAGCCTCTGAGGTAGGAAGCTGGAGAGAGAGATTCGGTTAGATGACCTCGGCGTTACGAAGCCGTTGTCGGCTCCATCCTCTAGAAATGGTGAAGGACCGGCCCAGTCTGTGGTCGTTATCTGCTGCTTCTGAAGCTTCCGTTTCTTTATGAAGATGACCAGGAATCCTACCATCATCAGTACCAGGGCTCCACCTATTATCCATGCCACTGCTTTACCGTGGCTTACTCCCCTGTTGGGCTTTTCTTTTGGTGGATCTTGTCTTTTCTTGGCCCTGGTGATGTTGATGATCGATGTCTTCGATGTGGCCAGTGAAGTTTTGTATGAACCTGTGGGGTGTGTAGCATCACCACCTGTGACTGGGCTTGTACTTGTAGACTTGACAGCAGGCTTGGCAGAGGTGGTCACAGTCAAGATGAGCTGTGTGGATGCAGGGGTCATTCTATCACTTCCTGTGTCTGGGCTTTGGGTGGAGCTGCTTAGTATTGGAGGAACCCTTGTAGTTGTTGTTGGTTGCTTGGCACCAACTATTGAGCTGTTTAACAGAGACAGTATGGAACTGGTTGGAGTTGCTGCTGTCTGATTGACCGGGGAGAATGTGTTAGAAGATATTGTTGGAAGTTTCCCGCTGGGTGTTGTAGTTTTTTCCTCTGATGGATTCGTACCAGCTGCAAAGGATGGTCTTATGTTGTGACCTGAGACTTCTGACACTGGATGTAAGCTGGATGCCTCCTGTGCTGTCAGATGGCCCTGAGTGAACATACTTCCTGTTACCTCGCCTGTCATCACATGATTCTGGCCCGATGTCCCCACGCTGCTAGTTGTCAGTGGCAGCAGCCATAAGAAAATGATGGTCATTGTGTTGTTCAGTCTTCTGGTTGCTGTTTGTTTCTAACAGAAAAGAGGAAGTGTGGAAGTTACACAGCAGATGAACTGAAGCATTGTCATTAGATGAGGAAACAGATGAAAGGAGTAAAAAAGGAATAATGTTGTGAAATGAAACCTGGTGTTGCATCATCTCCTTTAAATGCAGCTCTAAACTGTCATGTGTTTCAATGGTACATACTAGTATTTTTAAATCAGACCACTCAGCAGGTTCATCTGAGTCACAGTCACCTCTCAGGTCACAGTTCACAATATTAAAATATTGTTAAGTTTTATCAACACAGTAAGAGCTCACTTTGATAACGTCACAATTTCTATCAATCACAAATGGCTGCACAGTGATTCAGTTGTGATAGTCACTGTGTAGTTGTGGTGGTGGGACTGTTTCAGTCCATCACACGTGTACAAGTTTTCTACACATTCATCCATGGCTCAGGTTTAATACATTGTTGTGTGTTGTCTTCAGCATCAGTTCAAAGCAATATGTGCTGCACGTCAGACGATGTTAATAATTCAGATGATGAAAACATACTTACCAATGACTGTGTGCAGAGTAACACATCAGCTGTGTTATTCCAGGTTATGTTCAGAGTGAAGTGGTTTAGGGTGTTCTGCCGTTGGCGGTCTGAGGACGTCCCTTGAATTCAAAGCAGGAACTAACAACATGGACGGTTTCTCTGATGAAATCTCAAGACTGATTCTTGCCTCACTTACAGGAAGTGTGACGTGAAAGTGATGACAAGCCTTTCACAGTCTGCTGTACTAAACATAGTGTTCATGTTTCACACAAAGCCTGACTAAGTTCAGATGTTTAACCAAACACTGAAGTGAATTAATATAAGTTCAAATCCAGTGACTTTAATTATCTCTCAGCATCTATGTGTGATGATATTCAGCCATTAAGTTCAGATCATATAGAGACATTTTCTCTGATGACCAGATCATTGGATCCATGTTCATGTAGCTGCTGTTTCAGACATGAACATGACTCACTTTTTTAAAACAACAAGCCCTTTTGTTTTCTGTTGTCAGTTGATTTTTGTCAGCAATACAGACTATTGTACATTATCCATTTATAAACTCCCCCGTTATTATTGATTTATTTCCTCTCTCTTTCTTTCCTGAATGTAAAACTGGACTTCCAGCCCCTCTTTGTAAAACTCCAGGGGAGTAATACCTTTTTATATATGTGGAATTGTGGGCTGTCTAGGGGGCTTGGGCTGACCAGGGTTGAAGGGGTTAAGGTTACATGTTCTGCTCCTTTTAATATGAGGAGATTTTGTGTTTCAACAATATTAAATAATGTGGTAACAAGTGCATTTTCTAAGATGGCACATTTTGTCATGTTTAAATATAAATACCAGTCTCAGATAATGGGGTGTTAAAAAGGAAGTCTGAGCTTACTTCAATATAAATATCAATAATTTCCATATCTGTCTATAATGTTACCACTCTTACCACTAGTCACTGTGCACAGTTACGTGTATGAGTCACAAGTATGAGCAGCCATTGACCATGTACTGTCTGCCTGATGCTTAACAGCAGGATTGATAGAAACACAAGAAATTGAAACAATGCAAAAATCCATTTATTTAAACCCTGACACTTTAACTAGTTCTTTTTTTGTACACAGCAGTTTTAAAAGAGCAGTAGCATTACACAGTCTTCAGTACAGGTAAGAGGTCATAGATAGTTAATACAAGGACTGTTAGCAGACATTGGACCAAACTATCTAACCATAATTTCTCCACACAAGATCACATCTAGGAAGAGATCCTGGGATCTCTGTGATAATTTAAACATGTGCTGATATACTGGTTTGTCTTTGTTAAATTATTGTGTTCACTCAGTTATGTTTTAAAACTGCAGCATTTCATGTTAGATATGCTGCAGTTACAAGTTATGTTTAACTAATTGTCATGAAAAATGTACACCTCACTTTTTAAAAGTATTTGTTACCTGTGTGTAACACTTGACCTGTTGGCTGTGTTCCTCTTGACCAAAGACAGGAAGTACAGTAGAGTACAGTAGAGTACAGTGGAATACAGTGAAGTACAGTAGAGTACAGTGGAGTACAACAGAATACAGTAAAGTACAGTAGAGTACAGTGGAGTACAGTGGAATCCAGTAAAGTACAGTGGAGTGCAGTGGAGTACACCAATCTTGTAAAGTTGTTAACTTGTTCTTATATATAATATATATATAAAATTTCACTACTTTGGTGTCTTTTCTTCTGTGAAATAAAGGTTTTGTTGAAAAATCTATTTCTTTGTCGCCAAGGTTTCCAAAAACAGTAGTTTTTCAGTATGGGATATAGCTATTGTGTCGGCACTAGTTTATTTTTACTAGGGGTTTAGTTAAATTGTGTAATAAATTGGAAAGAAACAAACATGCTAAGTTAAAGCAAAGCTCATTAGCTGAACTGACTGGCTGCTGTTTGTCTTGACTGAAGAGTTTACTGAGGTTATCTCCTCACACAACAAGGGGCATGTCCTCCAGATCCCTGGGAACCTCCAGACAGGAGTCCCTGGAACTGGCACACTGCATCTCACTGGCCCTCTCTTCTGGGTCAAAAGCCATCGCCGTGGCCCCTTCCTCAAGTCCCACCCCAGCCTCTTCCTTCACCCCTTGTATTTTAGCGTGCCTCTCTTCCTCCATCTCGCTTTGTGCTCTCACCTCCTCTAGCACAACACTGGCGTCGCACGGCCCAACCATTCCTCCAACCTCTGGCTGATCAATGTCCCAGTAGCTTGCACGGCTCACCAAGTCCATGTTAGACCGGGAGGCTCGGGGGGCATAAACCCGGCGCTGAATGTGGCAGACCTGACATGCCAATACCACGGTGGCAACCAGAAGGCAGACAATCAGCCCCCCTGCTGAACCTATAGCAACCAGACCCATCTCAGTGTCGATTAAGCAGTCAGCACGAGTGCCGTTGCTGTCTGTATCCGGAGAGTTTGTGTGGTCAGTAGTAGTGAGGCTGGTCTCCATGGAATGGACTGAGCTGCCACTGGGTTCTTTTGTTGCGTATGTATTTGTCTGCATGGTTGAAGAACCTTGTCCTGCATCAGCAGGACAGAATGGCAGCTGGTTGAGCAGGAGAAACAGCCAGAGGGATGTTCTGGTTCCGTCCATTGTGCTCTCTCTGAAATCAAGACAGTCTTACAAAGATTAAATCAAGAATGTCGGCTCATTTACAGCCTGTTGAAGGTGAATTTAAATCACTCTCAAATCACTGAATCACTGTAGCTCTTACATAATAATTTTTTTAACTGTCTGTTGTTTTTATTATTTTTATTGTGTTTTTGTCCTTGAGCGCTGTGAAAGGCGCTGCCAAATAAAATGTATTATAATAATACAGAGCAGAAAGGTGACTTTGCCTCTTAAAGATTTATCATGTTCAACAGGAACAGGTTTCGCCACATGATCATATTTACAACACTTACTTGAAGTAGTCTTCGGCCGTAGTCTTGATGCAGAGATGGAGTCAGGTACAGTGTCAAGATGCTCTGAACTCACTTCCTGACCCCGTCTCTGGGTCTTCACTGCTCTGGTTATTTCAGGGTCTCTGGTCTGATACTGCAGAGGCTGAAAAGCTCTTACAAGAAAAGAGATAAAAAAAGAAGTTTCTCAGAAACCGGAACAAATGATGCTATGAACAATTCAAGACAGGCTCATGTGCACAGAACTCACGTCAACCCAATGATACATAATTTACTACAGAGAGCCTGAATTTAAATTAATTAAAACTGTTTTTTTTAATCTCCTTTCTTTAGGTTCAAAACAGGCCAGATCAATGGTGACCTGCTCATCTACCATGTCCTCCTTACCCTCAAACCCTACTATGCTAAGCCCTATGAGATAGTCGTAGACTTGACACATGTAGGACCCAGCAATCGCTTCAAGACCGACTTCCTATCCAAGTGGTTTGTGGTCTTTCCTGGCTTCGCCTATGAGAACGTAGCAGCTGTTTATGTCTACAACTGCAACACCTGGGTGAGGGAGTACACCAAGTACCACGAACGTCTACTGACAGGCCTGAAGGGCAGCAAGCGTCTCCAGTTCATTGACTCTCCAGCTAAATTGGCCGAGCACATTGAACCTGACCAACAAAAGCTGCCTGCGGCCACACTTACCCTGGAGGAAGACCTGAAAGTGTTCCACAACGCCCTCAAGCTGGCCCACAAAGATACCAAGGTCTCAATAAAGGTGAGCATGTAGCCATAGCAGTTGTTCTAAAAGGTGCTGACTACTTGGACTGGATTAGATTAGTGAAGGTTAGTAAACTCATTAGAGAAATTCTCCTTAAACAACGTATTTCCTTGTTGATCAGGTGGGTTCGACAGCAGTTCAGGTGACCTCGGCTGAACGGACCCGTGTCCTCGGCCAGCCGGTCTTCCTCAACGATGTCTACTACGCCTCAGAGATTGAGGAGATTTGTCTGGTGGACGAGAGCCAGTTCACCCTCACCATGGCCAACCAGGGCACACCGCTCACATTCATGCACCAGGAGTGTGACGCCATCGTCCAGTCCATAATCCACATCCGGACACGCTGGGAGCTGTCACAGCCGGATTCCATCCCACAGCACACCAAGATCCGACCCAAAGATGTTCCTGGCACTCTGCTGAACATCGCTCTGCTCAACCTGGGCAGCTCTGACCCCAGCCTCAGGTCAGTCCTGCAGGGCCTGCATACTTATTCTAGGAAATAGTCATAGCAGGTCTAATGAAACAGGTGGGGCTGTAGAAGAAAATAGGGTCTGATCCAAGTAGTAATTTCTGCTGTGAACTCTGAACTCTGAACTCTCAGACAAAACTGTTCAGAATCTGTGGTGTCAGGATTCATAGTTACCATCGCTTCAAATCATTACTGCAAATGTAAAATTACCCTTTACCTTTTTGTTTTTTAGCAAAGTTGACACACAGGTTGAGTAAGATTATGCTATGTGGCCAAAGGTATATGCACACCTGAGCATTGTACCTGTCCTAAACATGTGATTTGAAAACCACAGGTGTGAAATGCTCCCATTCAGTCATCAGAGGTCTGATCACAGCTGAGGCTTTGTGGTACTGGGAAAACCATTTCGTCATCAACCTGCTTTAAGCATGAGGACGTTGTCATGTTGAAAAACGCAAACTGTCGACACAAAGTTTAAAGGACAGCTCTGTCTAAAATACTATAACAAGATTTCACTGGAACTACAGTCCCAGACCAGGAATGACAGACAGGACAGAACTACATGTAGTTTGTGAAGGTTCATGGTTTTGAACATTGAACTTAAACTTTCACATTTAGGAGAAGTTATTATTATTCTATCAGGGGGAAAAGACAACTAAGGAAACACTGTTTTTGTACTACAGAGCTTAACACCTCAGACTTTTCCTTTCCACAGGTCTGCGGCTTACAATCTGCTGTGTGCTTTGACCTGCACCTTCAACCTCAAGATAGAGGGCCAGCTCCTCGAGACGTCCGGCCTCTGCATCCCAGCCAACAACACCCTCTTCATAGTCTCCATCAGCAAGACTCTGGCTGCCAATGAGCCACATCTGACTCTGGAGTTTCTGGAGGAGTGTATCTCAGGTTTCAGCAAGTCCAGTGAGTCCACTGAGTATACACACTGTCATACACACTGTCATACACACTGTCATACACACTGTCATACACATACATGCTCTCACCTATAGGGATGGGTATTGTAAACGTTTCATATTTTAACGGTACTCTCATCAATCTGGTACTTTATGGTTACTCTTATTGATCCTGTAACCTTTAACCAGTTAACCTTGCTTTATCTTATCACATGTACTTAATTAACATTCTTGAGTAACAGACTTCAACAACATGGTTTTGATTGTTACGAAAGAATCACTATTAGAGACCAATTTTGTGATGATGGAAATGTAAAACAAATTATACGCAATGATTCACTACAGGACTTTTTGACAGTATTTTTACTGTGCAGTAGTTCAGCAGTAGCCCCCACATCTGTGTGTACGTGTGTGTGTGCTGCTCCAGCATGTGACACAGAGCTGCCCCGCCCCTCACACACACACACAGAGAGAGAGACAAATAGGAAAATCTACTTTCTTCATTTCTCCAGAACCGAGAGCAGAACCAATGACGTTAGAGCTCATCGATACTACAGTCTTTAAAATGTTGAATACCAGGTTTCAGTACCCATCTCTACACACCCACACTCTGTGATTCATGTTAGACTTACAGGTCAGGGTTACTCATAAAAAGGTTATGAGCTGAGCTGGAGAGGAAACTAGACCAGTCCCTGATCTTAGATCAGATCTATGAACCCTTACAGCTGAGCACCAGCAGCCTCAGATAGGTGATGCTTAAAGCCTTGAGCTCCCTCTGAGGAGCCTGAACACAAACTAGTGAGGACAGATGTCTAAGTTAATGAAGTGCTCTTCATTAGTTCTGTAAAGTCATCAGAGGAAAGACTCAGTGCCTTTTACATTATGTGAAGCAGATGTCATTAGTGTGTCAGCTGGTGCTTAATGTTTCCAAAAAGCTTAAGCTGCTGCTTTATTTGACCTTGATGGTCTGAACTCTCTCAGTCACTCTCATGTTTATGTTGAACCCACCCTATTTAAAACACTGTGTAACACACACTGTGTGTCTGTGGTTACATAAACTAAACATGATAAACTATAATATACTATAATTGTTCATTTCTGAGTGTGTTAAACAGGATCCTACATTTCCCATAATGCAACCAGTAGTATCATTTTGTTAGACCCTCCCTGTGTCTCCAAGCCCAAACTGAGATAATCCTGATGACATCACTATGACATTATCAGAATTATTTCCTCAGACTCCTCCTGCACAGCTGTAGAAGATGAACACATGAAGCATGAAGAACGGTGATGAGGAAAATGACTAAGTGATCAGTGAATCAGTTTCTAAAGATGATAAAAGACAGAGTTTAGAGGAGAGAAACCAGAGATGAAAAGAAAAGTTCAGTTCCGACCTGACGCTGAACTTGTCTGATCCTTGTGTCATAAAGAATAAAGCAAAAGCTGGTTCAGGGTCTGGTTGTTGGTCTGTTGCAGGTATTGAGCTGAAGCACCTCTGTCTGGAGTACATGACACCCTGGCTGCTCAACCTGGTTCGCTTCTGTAAGCACAACGACGACGCCAAGCGCCAGCGCGTCACTGCTATTCTGGACAAACTCATCACCATGACCATCAATGAGAAGCAGATGTATCCCTCCATACAAGCCAAGATCTGGGGCAGCCTGGGCCAGGTGAGTCACCATGGCAACAGTCTGAGTAACAGTGTCTGGATTCAGCCTCTAACTGTGTCACCGTGTCTGCAGATCACGGACCTGTTGGACGTGGTGTTGGACAGCTTCATTAAGACCAGTGCTACCGGAGGCCTGGGCTCCATCAAAGCAGAGGTCATGGCTGACACTGCCGTGGCTCTGGCTTCAGGGAACGTCAAACTGGTGTCCAGCAAGGTGAGCCAATGTCACCTGTGCGCAGCAGGTTCTGGAGTTCATGTCACTTTACTGTTTTAATGTCTCTGAACATTTCATCATGTTTTCACCAAGATAAAACGCTGTCGCTGTCAGACAGGTTCATCACCGTTCACCAGCCAGCTCGCCACTACATGTCCCGTGTGTGTGTGTGTGTGTGTGTGTGTGTGTGTGTGTGTGTGTAAGTGTGTGTGTGTGTGTGTAAGTGTGTGTGTGGTGTGTGTGTGAGTATGGAGTGTGTGGTGTGATATGTGTGTGTGTGTGTGTGTGTGTGCGTGCAATGTGTGCGTGCGTGCGTGCGTGTGTGATGTGTGCGTGCGTGCGTGCAATGTGTGTGTGCGTGCGATGTGTGTGTGTGTGCGTGTGTGTGGTGTGTGCGTTCGTGCGTGCGTGTGTGTGGTGTGTGCGTGCGTGCGTGCGTGCGATGTGGTGCGGTGCGATTGCGTTGTGGTGATTTGTGTGCCGTGCGTGCGGTGTGCGTGCGTAGCAAAATGTCGTGCTGCGTGTGTGTGGTGTGTGCGTGCGTGTGTGTGCGTCTGCGGTGCGATGTGTGCTGTGTGTGATGTGTGTGTGTGCGTGCATGTGTGCGTGCGCCATCGTGTGGTGATGTGTGCGTTGCGTGCGTGCGATGTGTGCTGTGCGTAGAAGTTAGAGACACCATAATCCAATTATAATCGTGCGTGTGTGTGTGCGTGTGTGTGTGCCTGATGCTGTCAGTGTGTATTGAACTAAAATGAGTGCAAGAGACAGAAGGGGAGGAAAAGACTAAGCCGCAACAACAACCACATGATTTCCTGGTTCAGACCAAAAATACAAAAATACACATGCCCATAATGCACTGGGGCTGAATGACTCGTTCAGCTCTCATGTTCTTTTGGTAAAAACAGCAGATCTTTATTCCCCCCCAAGCAGTTTAGTTTCACATCTCAACTTCTTCATTCCTCTTGAGTCTCTGTGCACACACCATTCTCCTACAGTTCGACTGAGCATTGTAGACAACACACTTCAAATCTTTCCACGTTTGAGTGATATGTTCCAGATTGTCGGAGTAAAGTAAAATATAAAAGCTACGTTGAACAA